CTTGGAGCTGTCAGGGTTAGGCATCATCGCTTTCCATGACTTCTCTGTTGGACGAAGCGGTTACAGAGAAAAGGTAGAGTTACAGAACAGCATGTTAAGGGTTAATTTGTCCTGGTATCAAAGTGAAAACCATTCACTTACCTGCTTGCCACCTATGTGGCAGGTAAATCTGATCCATGTTCCTCCATTTGTCCTGAAGGGAACTCGGCACGACACGGTTCTCATCCATTTCCCGGATGGCATTGCCATGGGGACAGTGGTGCAGCCTCTCCCATCCAACAGACTGATGCTGTGGCTCATTACACATACAGTTTCTCTCCCTCAGCTTTGGGTATGTCGCTGGAGGATATTTCTCCAAGTTTTGTTTGGAGGCCAGTGGCCTCTTGAGATCAATGAGCCTCCTGGGATCGTCATCTGCCCTCCATTTTGACCCCGTGCGACATGAGCTGTTCCCAGAAGATTCTCCCTCAGTGTCGTTTCCATGATGACGGCCACGGACATCAGGACTGGAACCTTTCTTCATCGGTTGTTTCTTGGAGTGAGATTTACAGGCTTCACATGTCGGTAAGAGTGCATCATTCCTCTGTTGGAAAGGAACAGCTTTTCTTTTTAAGGTCCGACTTTCCAGTCCTGGACTGGCGGAGGTGCAGATCCTGCGCTTTGCCAGACATCTGGTGCAAAGTCGTTCCCTCTTAGGGGCGAATGCGTTCTCATTGAAATTTCTGCTGAGGCAGCATTCGTGGTCAGAGAGGCTTCGCCGATCCACCTTGCCTTTGGGTTTGTATCTCTCCTTTGGCTTGCGAACCGTAGGTGGTTCCTTGAACTCTAGGTCTAGTTTTCTTCTTCTGGAAGGCACATCTAAGCCACGGCTGTTCAGAGGTCTGTTGTGCTTCTTGGGAGTCGGCGGCAACTTGCTACAATAGTAGACATTGTCAAAGTCAGCTAGCCAGCTGGTTGAGGGAAGGTAGGCAGGCAATGATTCGAATGAAGTGTCTTGGTGATCGTGAACAATCGAGTCTCGTCTATGTTGGTTTCTATCTGCCTTAAGAGGGGAATTATCCAACAGCAGCAAATAAGGTGCATGGGCCACCTCTGCTGTGTGCATCAACTCAGTTACAGGACTTTCCTCTGCAACGTCCATCATATGGCACCTATCAGCTCCAGACAACATCTCATCCCCTGGACCCTCTACAGTGGGGACTATGTCCTCCAGTTCATCCTCTGTCAGAGGAGGTAACTCAATCATGGGGACGACCTCTTCTGCAATAGTCTTCTCTCTCATGGTCAGCACATCTGTTGAAGGTACATCAGCAGCCAGTGTTTCATCGAGAGACTCTGTGTTGCTTTGAATCAGCGATTCAGGGGAGGAAATCAAAGTTTCCCCCATTGACCAGACTGTAGATTCCATCTTCCTCAGCTCATCCAGGTACTTGGGATCAAAGGGCAGGTGAACCACTTTGAAGTGAAAATTCTTGGATGCAATATTCAAATCTTTCTCACTGCTAGTCTCCTGAACATCACCATGAGGTGCTGCTTGGGAAACAAAGTTTGAGGCGACAGTCGCAGAGTCCGTCTGGTCCCTGGACTCCTCCGGAGCAGGGATCTTCTCACCACTGCTGGGATTACCGACTAACAGGATATCAGGACAAGCTTGGAGGGCCTGCTCTGACTGGTCTGCAGGAAGGTGCAGTTCCTCGTCCTGCAGCACATGACCCTGGAAGGTAGAACTACACTGGACCATATCTTGGGAAAAGCTGTGGGATACTTCTGCAGTCTCATGAGAGTGCAGGAGTTGTAGTCCCACCGGCGTGGTGCAGCATTCAATCCTCACCTCCTCTGTCTGAATCACAAAGCTGGAATTTGGTGGCGTCCTGGTTGAAGAAGAGGGCACCATGTCCTTTAGCTCCAGAGATTGATCCCCCTTCTGTACAGCCAGGGCTGGTGAGAGTGGCTGACTGGTGGGGATACCGGGGCTGTGGTTGCTGTGGACTGGGAGGGCACGGGAGGCCTCGACGTTGCTGGAACCTGGGGTGCTAGTCCTCTGGGTTGCCGACAGTGGCTCGGTTTGAACCTCAGAGCTGGTCATTTCTCTGGTCTGGCTGTTGTGTTGGTAGCGGAACCTGCGGGAGTGGTAGGCCATGGTCTGGTAATACTGAGGGTTGAGCATGCGTCTGTAGTCCATCAAGTGGAGGTGGGTATGGGGTACAACAAAGCCAGGGGGCTCCATGTACGGATTTGGCTGATAATTAGGCATTACTGGTATGCTGTAACCTTTAATAAAAGACAAAAAGTACATCTTATTAAACAGTTGAGATTTTTAAAATCACACCAAAGTAGAGTTCTGCTACCAGACTCAACAGGTGTTAAAGTATTTTAGATTAAGCTGTTGCATAACCCTGCTGGCTTAGGTTTGGTCATTTATCAATGCAATTTATCAAGAATTCCCTCACATTTCTCTGTGTCTCTGAGCTGAAAGAGGAAAAGAGACAATATATTGCATTAGCCTGGCGAGCAATGGATGAAATAAAGCATACAATATAGTGCAGCTTTGGGTTTCTGTGTGCCTATTAGGTTGAGTTAGGTTACACATACAGTTAAAGCTTTAGTCTCAGTTTAAGGCCTGAGAAAACTTCACACCACACAAGAGAAACTAATGGCGTCACTTCAGCAGCAAAATAAGATACAAAAATAATAGTTTAAACTAACACTAGACTGCAGCCACATTATCGGTTCTGTGAGGATGTATTTAGGCATAGTGGGGATTTTAGCTAAAAACATCATCATGCTAACATGCTAACATGCTGCTGTTTGATGTATAGTCATTTTTCTAAATAGCATGAACAAACTGTGCATTTGTACAAGTACATAAAAATAAGAATTTGCTGTTTATATAATTTGTGATATAAGCAACGGTATTTAGAATACATTAGTTAAGTATTTTCAGGGAATTTCCACCAAATAGACACAGGATTTGGATTAATGGCACTTACCTAAACCAGGGTAGCTGTAATATGGGTTGTAGGACACCGGCATGGGCACTGGCACAGGCCACTGCAGACTCTGCATGGGCAGGTATGGCTGCAAGGGTTGTATGTAGAAGAATGGTTTATGGTGCTGCTGGTGCTGCTCCTCAGGATGCTGTCCTCCAGAAGGCCCTGGAGCTGGCTGATGGGGCCCCTGGCCCTGCTGAGCTCCATATGCTGGGTTTGGACCCCGAGGGCCCAGACCGAAAGTGTGTTGCATGGTAGATGTGGCTGCTTCCATTTGCCAACTCCAAAGTTGAAATAGTTATTTCGTTCTTTGTTGGCAAATTAGTTGCAAGAGATTGTTTAACAGAATTCTCTGACAACAAAACACTCACTGAACAAATAGAAGATTACTACTAACAAACCAACACGGCTTTCAAGGTACGTTTTAAATCAAAAATCAAAGGTGTGGACTCATGATACACGGTAGCTTGTCAAATGCTGCACTGATTGGCTAGGTTTTGGTTCCAGGTGACATTGGTCCAATTAGAGTTTAATGAGCTTCTTTTAAAGCCAATGAATGTTTCCCACTGATTACCTCCCACTGTGGTGCATCAACTCACCTGAGGATAGGTAGACAATCGATCAGAGATAGGTGAAAAAGCAGGGTTGGCTTTAATTAAGGACTACAGACCTGCAGCTTGTCAGAATCATTGGCACAGGTCACAGGTATGTGGCTCAAAGTGGTGCATCCTCTCCTTTTCAGCATCTTTGTGAAGCTCAGGGGTTATTTTCTTGAAGGTCGCCTCATTTGCAGGTGAGCAGAGCAAAAGATTCTCTGAAATGCAAGGCACATATTCAACACAGCCTGTGTTGAGATGCAGGATTGACCCCTGAAGAGCCAATTAGGAGGTTAGATGATAGCTTGTTTGGTAGCCTGGAACAGTATTTATAGACAGTATTATCCGTGAAGAATAAACATGCTCTGTGAGAGACGGTGATTTTAAATCTGTGCTGCTGTTTAAAGAGGTTTTCTGGTGGGTGTGCCTTTAGGATAGAGCCATAATATCTACTTTTGCTGGTCATATTGGTCAGAGGAGAAGATATTTTGTCATAAAACCATAAAGAATGATCATCTAAATTAGCTGTAGTATACAAAAACATGTTTAAAGCATCTGATGACAATTAACTGATTAATCGTTTGGTCTCTTGAATGTCTGAGTACAGTGAAAAAGGCCCAATGCAATTTCTTTTCTTTTTTAACCCAAATACATTAAATTTTTAATAATGTAAAACAGAAACATTCACACATTTGAGTGTCACAAAAAAACAAACGTTTGGTATTTCTACTTGAAAAATTACTTAAATGATTAATTTCCTCCTAAATGACCAATCCATTAAAGCATCCAATGATACAGTTTAAGTAAGGTAGCCAGGGGGTGTAAGTGACGTTTGACCAAGAAACAAAACAAAAGTCAAACTTTCTTCTGACTTTATTGAATTCAATCTTTAATATTAAAACTTCATAAACATGTGGAAGAAAATATACTTCATGAACAATATTGACATTTATTGCCCTTTTGGTCCTTAACAGTGCAGTGTTCAGTGTTAGGTTGTTTGGTGTTTGATTAGTAACTGCTTTTGATTGGTTTAAATTTGATTTATAACTCACTGTTGCCCAAAATGTCACTTGCTTCTGGTTCTCACCCCTCAACAAAGCGAGTTATAGTAGTTATGTTTATACTGCAGCCATATCTATAGATCTAACAAGGTGTACTAAATTACTGCAGGTCAACATCGGATACTCAAAGCATAAAATGCTCAACTATAGAACATCTGCCTGATATTACTCCAAGTTAGCCAGGCATGTAAATCAGATATAAACCCCAGGAGCTCAACTAGTATTAAGAAAAATGTCACCTAGATGTCGGAATAACTCAAATTATCCCTCGTTATACAATAAGTGTAAATCTCTGAGCACAATGTGAACAGTTGTAAGATGTTATAATGTAAAAATGATGATTCAACACAACGTTTAAATAATGACAATATTTTATTGGACTGACCCCAAACAGTGACACACCATCATCTGCAACACAACCTTTTCAGCCCATTTGCCTGTTTGTGAAATTCATAAATCATGAATAGTGCATGGCAGTGTCACTGCAGAAACTTTATACATTTCTTTTACCATTTTTTTTTTTTTACTTTTATCTAACATAAAGAGGCTTTCTGTGCAGTGCATTTCACCTGGTGCTCTAAATATTAATTACATTACGAACAAATACACCTTTGGGGGGGACCTGAGGAGGAAAGAAAACATTTAGTTAAACAGATTTTTGACGAGACAGAAGTTTGAACATATTGAAAAGTGTGTGTGAACTGAAAAGATCCCCTGTAGAGTCCATGTTTCATCTTCTTCACCTACAGTTCAACGCGCTTTGTTCGAAAGTCAATCCGGGGGCATCAACATCTTGGTTCTCCTCTCATGGTAGAGCCTGACAAAGAATAAGTCACATTCAGAAAAATGAAAGCGAGGTCAGTGATAACAGTTGTAAAACAGAGTTAGATGCTTATGGAAATGTAATGTCCCTTGTTTGCCAAGGTTAGGCATTCTGGGTATTTATCCAAGTGATTTTATTGCTAAGAAGAGCAACCATGCAACCATAGACGTGTCCCCAGCAAGCCAAGAGAGCAATAGCTATAGAACAAAGATATCAAGTATGGATCAATATATTAAGGATCTATCATTATGTGTCGCTATGGAAAAATTAAATCTCTAAAGGAAAGCTGGAGTTTTATGATATAGTAATGATCAAGAAATAAAGAGACTGAGGTAGGGGCAATTACTGTATCATCTGTATATTTACCTCCATTTTAATTACTGTTTTTGTTTATTTGCCTTTTCATTTGATGATACATTGTATCTGCTGCCAAGACTGAGCATTAAAAAAATCCCAATAATAATAATAATAATAATAATAATAATAATAATAATAATAAGAATATTAACCTCTCTCCCAGTGTAATGGCGGCGGCTCATCGTCATCATTGTCCTCGTCTCTTGGCCTGTGGTACATCACTTTCCTCTGAGTGCTCATCTCTATAGAATAAAATAGCAGAGACACATCAATGAAAAATTATGTGTAATTTGAAGAATGACTTAAAAAGGAAAGGAGAAGAAGCATGATTTAAAAATGGAAACTGAAACTCGTGAGCAGTTTCTTTCTACCGAACTATACCCGCTACATCAAAGTCTGTGTGTTATCTTTATAAGAGGTCCTGATTTATAAGAGACATTCCTGTTGAGTCTTTCAAAAGTATTGTTTTGGCACCACAAGCCAACAGCCGTCTGGTTCCGTTATATTGGAAAGTTGGCAGACATCTCTACGACCATTGTCTCTAAAATTCAGCAACTCACACCAAAACAATAGATGGATTAAGAGCAGCAGAGATTCTTATGAATCATTTTGTGGCTTAAATTCAGTCACTCATCATAATATAGGTAATAGGTATAATAGGTACAGCAGCCATTTTTTGGGACCTTTGCTGAAATAATCTTTGGAGCTGGTAGCTGGTTGAGAACTGTGCGGTTCCATCTCAGCATTTCACAAACATTAAAAAAAAGGGTAAATTAATAAATTTGGGAAAAAAACTGCTCTGACTTGGCTGCAAAATTCTAATTATGCTGCACAAGCTGTTTGGGCAGATTGATAAGACATGCAAAATGATGAGCCGAGTAAACTTTGTTAGTTTAGGAAACTTTTTTGAGCGGCTAAATTCAACCTTGTCGTTGCAGAGGGGTTGCTTGTCTCCTCCTGGGAATTGCGTCACCGTCGCCCCACCTGCCCTGGTCGGACGTGGTCAGACCTTCTCTGCAGAGTCTGTCTACAGAGGAGCTCACACATTCAGCACATGACTCAAACACGATAATACAATTAAACACATATCTAGGATAGAAGTCGACTAAAGACATCAAAGAAAATAAATTTGTGGCAGAGACTTACCCTGGCATGTTCTGCACTGCAGCTCACTACTAGTTAACTCTCCAATCTCGCCATCGGCTGGCTCCTGCTGACAAAGATCATGACCTTCCTCCTGGTTGAGCGGCTCTACGGGATCTTTGTACTGGCCTCTTTTATACCAAGGTTTTGCAGCATGTCTCAGTGGGGCAGAATGGGGCTTCCTGGGCGCAGTATGCTTCCTCACAACCACTCTGACGGGCTGCTCACACCCTCTTCCATATCGGCTTTCCTCCTCGGAGTCTCCGGCTTCATCCCTGTACATCTTGGAGCTGTGGACTTTGCTCCTGCTCACCCCTTTCGCCAGGCTTTTCCCACAGCAGGCGCACATGTACCTCTTTGAACCTGGCGGCCATACCGGTTCTGCTTCTTCAGCAGCCTGCGGAGACCCGCCTACGACTTCTGCAAGCCTCCTGCCTGTATACACACGTTTGGGGAAGAGATCCGCATCATCCAGGTCTGTGGAGAACATCTCGTCTCTGGAGGAAAGCTCGTCCAGAGACGGACTGAGCACGCTCATCCTCTCATGGGTGGTGTGCATGACGGGGTAGTTGTAGAAGTAGGGGGCAGCTGGGGAGGAGAGGTGGCCGACTGCAGCATCTCCAGGTGTCAGAACGCTCTCAAAGGGCAGCTTGAGGATCTGGTAGTTTTGATCGGCTTTCTGATGTTCTGGTTTTGAGACTTTTTCGCCACTTTTGGCGTCTCTGAGCGATGGCTGGCAGGGGGTAAAGGAAGATGGCACTGATGGTGTTGAAGGCAGGATTGAATCCGCTCTCTGCTTCTGGAGCTCTTCGGCATCGCATTTGAGAACACTTGGATCGGTCACTGAGGTATCTGACTGGATATCCGTGACCTCCGCTTTCTCAAGAGCGAGGAAGCGTTCATCTGCTGCAGGCTGCTCAAGCTCAGAGCACTCTTCGTGAACAGAGGAGCTGTCGAGAGGCAACTCCTCTTCCAGTCCTCCTGACCAGCATTCCTGAGGGCTCAGGCCATCTAAGCTCCTTTGGCTGGACTCGCCGTCGTACACCGCCGTCGTGGAGTCACTGAAGGTCACAGCCGGAGACTCCAAACGGCTGCTGTCAGGCGCCGAGGGCAGGACATGACCCTGCTCCTCTCTTTTCTTATCTTCTCCTGGAGAAAACATCCCCGAGGACTGTGAGGCAACACCAGAGTCCAGTTCTCTCTCGGCTCCCTGCAGCTCACCACCTCGAATCTTATCCAGGCACTCGATGAGCTTGGTTATGGCGTCGCTGGGGTCGGTCTGAGCCTCTGAACAGGCCATCTCTCGTCGGCCGTGAGGCTGCGGGTGATACTGCTGGCGGGGCATGTCACCCCAGGGAGGAGGAGCGTGGAACCGAGGTTCAAACATTCGCCTGTGGTCCATTGGGTATATCGGGGCGTGTGGGAAAACAAACCCGGGGTACTGCATGTACTGGTAGGGGTTCATGCAGGGACGGCCAAAGTTAAAACCTAGGGAATGTAAATGTGAGTGAGATCTCAGGCAATAAAGACTTGTTTAATACAATAAAAATAAAGTTTAAATAGTTTGATACCTCCAGGCAACCCATACTGACTGTATGGGTTGTTCATCTGCCAGTGCTGGTAGAGGTAGTAAGGCTGAGACGGTGGCTGGACGTAGAAAAAAGGTCTGGGATGTTGAGTTCTCTGTTGTCCGCCAAATGTGTGTGGTTGCTTGCTTCCATCTGCAGGAAGCAGCAGTTTAAATTCAATAAGTGAGGAAATAAATGTTATTTTCAAGCACACAGTTCACACAGTTCACAGCACTCAAACGTTATTAAACCAATATTTTAATGTGAAATTAGAAAGAAAAACCCTTACCGTCCATTTTCTCTCTCGTGTTTGTTTAACCTGTCAGAAATAAAACGCCGCAGAGGAAAGAAACCCGATGAACATCAGCAAGCCTCGGATGAGCAGCGGGAAAAGTTACAGTCGATTCTTCGATAAACAAACAGAAGTAGAAACGCTTCACTCTCAGGTGCGCATATCGTCCTACCAACAAAAGCCCCACCATCTCCGCTCATTAAGTCATATAGGAAACACCTGCTGCGGCCTTCAAGTGCAGGCGGACACATCAGTGCTGAGGGATCAATAAGGCCACTTAAAGCAGGATCAAATGGAGCTGTTTTTTTGGTGGAGCAACAAAAACTTGTGCAACTCTCAAAAAAAAAAAGACAGAAACATAAAATAGAGACAATAAAAATCCTGGAGGAAAAAAAACACATTTAATTTTAACAGCTATTGTTTTTTATATGTCCAAATCGTCATTTAACTTTGGAAAAAACTGCATAGTTGCTTAAAAATGTTGGCTGCGTCATAAAATGTGTTGGCTGAACAATGGCTCATAAAAACCACATCATAATCGATGCATCAAGGCACCAAATAAACCACATGTCAATTGTATTTTCTTTCTACAGAAGACAACAATGTCATAAGCTATGTACTGTGGGAATACAGGAGATATTTTGGCTGCCAATTTTAGCATAAAAATCCCCCAAAATTACCATTTGCAATAAAGAGAAAACCCCAACAGAAGAACTCTATTTAATTCAAAGTACAAAGCATTCACTTATTTATTATTTTTTGTCTTTCTTTCTACATTTCTTTCATTTTTGTTATATTGGTGTTTAAAAAAATAGTTTTTTATATATTATTCTCATTCTGTGTTGTCTGACCTAGATACACAAATTGAATATAATAAAAATTTTAAAAACTAAATCAATAAAATATAAAAATAAAGAATCTTTTTAATCATTATTTAGGTTTTTTTAATGTATTAATTAATATATATCTTAGTGTATTCACTTCACTCTGTACTTCATACTGTATATATCTTGCTAGCATATTCATATATATCTATATTATTTTTTATATCCCTGTACATATGTACATTACTCTGCACAAACTTTTTATATTTAAGTTGCACATGTACAGTTTAGTTTTTAGTCAAAGCTGCTCAAATATTTGCACCATTTTTACTTGCATATTGCATATAGTGTATATATACTTTTCATTTATAGTCTTATATTTTCGATTATAGTTTGTAATATTCTTATTTTGTGATATCTTATTGTACTTCCACGTCTGTACTCTTGCACTACATTCCCTTATGCTGCTGTGTCTCTCAGAATTTCTCCTAATCTTTCGTCCCCCTGGCCATTAGACTGTACAACAGCTCTTACAATTTCCTCCTCCATTTGCACCATTTGCACTGTTTTCATTTTAATTTGAATGTTAATTTTAATTTTTAATGTATGTATGTATCTAGTGTATGATGCTGCTACTGGATTGCTTGAATTTCCCTCGGGATAAAATAAATTATTCTATCTATATAATCTACCTATCTATCTAACCTTACCTATCTATCTATCCTATCTATCTATCTATCTATCTATCTTATCTATCTATCTACCTATCTATAACCTATCTATCTATCTAATCTATCTATCTATCTAATTATCATCTATCTATCTATCTAAATCTATCTATCTATCTATCTACAGGGATCAATAAAGGTACGTCCCAGTTCATCTTATCTAAAGTTGAATCCTAATATAATAACTGCTGTAAATGGTCTTTTTCCCAAACATAATGGAATAGCGCCAGTGTGGTTGCAGTAGTGTAAACAATATTTAACCCAAACGTATGCCTGATTATAAAGTACAATGAATTGTTAACAGTCCCATAAACACCTTGTATTTTTTATTTTGTTATTTTTTATTATTTGCACATACATTTTGCAACTTGTTTTATTTCCCACCCTTTGCACCTCCACCTCCCATTTGCACTGTTTTACTTTTGGCAATGTTTACTGTAGGCTAACTGTTAATTTAATATATTATATACATACATAATACTTTATATGCTTAAATGCTTTTTATGCTTAATTTTGATTCTGTTCTAAGGTAGGGTTTTTAGTTTAATGTATGTTTAATGTATGGCTAAACTGGATGCTTGAATTTCCCTCGGGATAAAAATAAAGTATCCTATGCTATCTATCTATGGCTATCCTTATCTAATCTATCTATCTGTCCTATCCGTCTATCCCCCTGTCTATTTAAATATCATCTCTGTCTATCTAGTCGTGTCTATCCTGTCTATTTATCTCTCTAAAATCCTCCTGTCTATCTATCTATCTAAATCCTATGCTATCCTATCTAGTCTATCTATCTATCTATTGTCCTATGCCTGTGCTGTTATCTAATCTAATCTATCTATCTATCTATCTATCTGTCTATCTATCCTGTCTAGTCTTCCCTTCTGTCTTAATCCTATCTATCTGATCTATCTGTCTATCTCTAAATCTGTCTGTCTATCTATCTATCTATCTATCTGTCTGTGCTATCTATCTATCTGTTCAATGTCTATGCCTGTCCCGTCCTATCTGTCTGCTCTAATCCTGAATCTAATCTATCTATCTATCTATCTATTCTAATCTAATCTATCTAATCTATCTATCTATCTATCCCTAATGCACTCTATCTCATGGTGGTTTAATTTTTAACCCACCTCCCTCATCCGTCCCGCAGCAGAGGTCGCTGTTCCCACTGCAGTTTCGGCGGCCGCATGCGGCAGTGTCCTCCCTCCCTGTGGTCTTTTCACAGGCAGCTTACGATCCGCTGTTTCTCGGCTTTTCTTCCTTCTTCCACACAAACACCTCAAATGTTTGTCCAACATTCAGCCTTCTGCCCGGCAGAGGGCAACCCGCCCGCCGCGACCGCCCACACAGCCGTAAGGATTGATTGTGGCTCGTTTTGGGGGGGGAGGGAGGGAGAGAAGAGGGGAGAGAAAGAAGGGAGAAAGAGGAGAGGAGAAGCGGAAAGGTTAAGCTTGAGGAAAAAACGCATCAACAGCCTGGCTACCTCGTTAGCTAGGCGGCTAACGTTACCCCCGGAAGAAGTGTGTGTGTGTGTGTGTGTGTGTGTGTGTGTGTGTGGTGTGTGTGTGTGTGTGTAGTGTGTGTTGTGTGTGTGGTGTGTGTGTTGGTGTGTGTGTGTGTGTGTGTGTGTGTGCTAACGTTGCTAGCCGCGGGTGGGCAACTAGCTCTTTAGGTTGTTTGATTCAAACCAAAGAAAAAGAAAACGAGAGCGAGAAAGGAAAGAGGGATGGTGGAGGGTTTGTTGTTGCTGCT